GTCTCAAGTGGCAATTCATTTAATACAATGAGCAACAAATGTTCCCCTGACCGCAAACCTTCGACCAATCCGCTTCAATGGTTTCATTTTCCCGTAGGATGAAGTCCTTGTTTTTTTTTTCTCTTGTTAGCTTATCTTCATATTTCCCAACTGGTACAATGGAAAACATAGTTGAGTTTTAAAAATTAACTATTCTACGATATATACGACTTCAGCTACAAAGAAACAGTACAGACGACTCCAGCTAAAGTTATTTTTTGCAGCTGAGATAGTCTGTATCGTTTTTTACGTGATTGGATATAACTCCTGACAGTACGTAATACTCTCTAAATAATACAATAACTCAAGGATAATCTACCTGCACTGGCACTTCCGCAGATGCTGCGCATCGTATCTGCTGTAACATGCCATACACCGTCGCGATGTCCGTCGAAACGTCGCGTGAGCCTGAACACCCATTTTCAATCACCGCTATAGCCACCCAAACAATGTTCTGTTCTTGTTTATTCGTAATGACGCCATGTAGAGTATGCATGCTTACCGAAATCGTTCGCCATCCGATCCACCAACTTTAAAAACCAGACGTCCAGGTGGCCCGCGAAAAGCAGTGCGCAGTTTTTGGCCCACATGCATAGCTAGAAATTCAAAATGCATCAGGAAATCGTTATTATTCATATAGGAAAATGAGAATTAGCTCAATTTTCTTCTCCTTCCTGACTAGAGCAAGCTAGTTTTTTATTTAAGATCTTGGAAAGATAACGATATAAATATATATAATACATAATTATGGAAATAAATCTTCATAAAACATGCATTTTGCAGAAGGTTTACGGAAAACATTAAAATGCCAACAGTAACTGTGAGCAACCCAGTGCAAACATTCTCACTCATCTCCGCAGGATATTCATCTTCCTAATAAACGAAAAACATATGGATTGAATATGCCCCTCAGCTGTTATTACTTTTAGCTAACATTATATAATTGGTAGCCTGAATCTCTCCCAATAGAATCAAAACTGATAGAGTTTACTATTTTGTTGTAAAATAGTCTCAAACTTCATATTAGCCTCGCAAATCGGTTTATTTCCATTGGCAACTTAAAAATTTTGCGAAGGATCGCGGAGTTTAGCGCCAAGAATTGAAGCGATGTTTTTTGCCGTTGAAAAAAAGCGATGAAGCAAGGAAAGCAAGGATGGTATATGACTCGTGGAGCCTAAACAAATTCCCCTCCCTCCCCACCCTATCGCACTAATGGCTTGATAGCTAGAAATGCACAATGCAAGCAGAAGTCGTGGTGAACTTCTCTTAGTCATCGACCACAGCATTCTGATTGCTCATACACATGCTACTTGGGTCTT